GAGAGAGAGAGAGAGAGAGAGAGAGAGAGAGAGAGAGAGAGAGAGAGAGCCGGGCTTGAGCAAAAATGAGGGAATGAAGCGTGATAAGTACCTGAAGAACCTCAGCCTTGATGCCCCTGATTTCATAGTCAAATTGGGTCCACTGAGAAAAAGCACATGAGAAAGTTCAGTAAAGTTGCCACTTAAAGAAGGGTGTGCTAGATTGGATTTGTGAACAGTGAGTATAATTGAAGAAGACATAGCAGAGGTTGCCTGTAACTACAGAAGATTTTATGGATAACGTGAAATTTGAAATTGGCTTAAAATGAAAAGGGGACAAAGATCTTCTGGGAAGTTATAGATGCCAAGCCAAGGCCTGGGCAATTCTGGGGGCCACAGTAAGACCAGCCCTCAGTGCCCGATCTGACAAGTTTTCCTCAGTTCCTGCTGCTGTTCGCTGGCTCTGGAGAACAGAGGGGAACTGTACAGGCTGGCTGGACTGGAATCAAACTCTGACCAAGAATAAGAAAGGTTGATGTACTTATTTTTCAGACACCATGGCTATTCTGTAGCATCTGCTACACCTTGGGATGTAGCATTTACCAACAACACCCATGTGGGTTTAATCAAATCAGAAAGAGCTGTTACATAGAACTAGGCTATTGCGATTGCTGTTGGTTGCCTGGGGAAACAAAACACATTTGTCTGACTGAGTAATAAATGTTTTATTTTAAAGTTTCAATTAAAATTTTGGAACAATAAAGAGAAAAATAGAATGAGAAAAATTGGATTTAAATTTGATTTTGTTTGAATAGGTACCTAATATTTTTCTCTTTAGATCTGAATTATTTTTTTCTTTGGCAATCATATGACAGAAGCTTTTGCATTCTCTTGGGCTCATCTAAGGGAAAAAGTACATCTAAAATTCCCAACAAATACCATCTATAAATTTTATATCTCTTTTCAGAAATATTATCTCTGAAAAGCCAAGAATAATGTACTTGTACAGAAATATTGTAGTGTATCCAAAGGGCTGTTTAGATTATATGTCAATGTTCTTGTAAGAACCTCAGAAGTAACTGAAATGGTTATCCAACAGTGAGACAAAAAGGCCTTGATGAAGATTTAAGTCAAAGCAACCTAAATTTCAACCCAACTATATTCCAATTTTCCTGTGATGTTTAAAGCTTTTTCTGTTCACTTTGTCCAAAAGTAATTTAGCAAGTTTTTTGAGCAGTTCATCTTTATAGATTCTGTTCTTCTTTAATTTACTGCATCCATCAGGCTATAAACAGAAGAATTCTAGGTGTTCAAAGAAGTGTGATTTTGAAAATCACTAGAGGCGAGGTGCTGATTTTTAAAGGAACATTGTCAAGGATGGTTAACAGGAGACTCAACATATAAAGCCTTTAAAATGTCATTCTTTCTTTCTTTTTTTTTAACATCTTCCCACACCTCTTTCTGTGAAATAGCTCAGGTCTTTCACTGTAGCTGAACCTCTGTGAAAGTTCACCTTCCATTCCAGCTCCTGGCCAGGACAAATAGGACACGCTTGCCTATCAGTGACATATGGCAAGCACACCTTGAACATCTGCGCAGTTCAAGGATCTGTCTTCCCTTTAACTCATCGCCCTCTGCCATTTGGATGAGGACTCTTGTTTTGAGTCAGTTTGTAAACTTAGTGAGTCAGTAGATGTTTTCATGCCCTCAACAAGCATCTGCACCACACATGGCCCATCAGAGGTGGGAGCTGCTCAAACAGAGGGTGGCATTTAGGACATCAGGAAAAAAGGAAAGCCAAATTCTTGGCTATCTTGCTGTTGGAGCAACGGCAAAATTCTTGGTGCTTGGGGGCATGAGTTATTGAAGGAGCCATTTAAAGTTAGAACAATAAATGCCAATTTTTGAATAATAAAATATTTATGATGATAATAAAAATGATGCTTGGCACGCTGGTGCATGCCTATAATCTCAATACTTGTGAGGCTGATGCAGGAGGATTGCTGTGAATTCCAGGCCAGCCGGGGCTCCACTGTGAGTTCAAGGCCAGCCTGAAATACCTAAGAAGACCTTTCCCAAAAACTATGAAACATGATGATTTTTGAAAATATTTTCTAATTTTAAAATTTCAGGAATTTTCCCCATTATTGGTACTTTCTACCCAAGCAGGATAATAGAGTTGACTTAAGACACCTGGGATTTGCTTCTATTTGTCTGTTTTTTGTGGTTAAGAACAGTCTGGGTCAAGTGAGGGACAGCAATGAACTTTCTGAGGAATGGTGAAACAGGAATTGCCACATTTCCTAGACACGGCAGGTTGTTGTTGAATACATAGACATCTTTTTTTCGTCCTAAATTTTCTTTCCTCCTTATATGCTGACGCATAAAGAATTTGGATATGCAAGAGATAATATTTTCATACTGATTTCCACAGTGGTTGATTGCACCACACCAGTATTTGTTATTGGTTGACTTCTTGATAGCAGCTATTCTTTCTGGAAGAAGGTGGAATCTCAGCATTGTTTTCATTTGTATCTTTTGAAGGACCAGTGATGTTGAACATTTTTTTCATATGTTTATTTGCTGTTTCTATTTCTTTGTCTGAGAAACGTCTGTTCATTTTAGATGCCCATTTTTGGGCTGGATTGTTAAATTTGGGAGGTGTGTTCTTTCAAGTTCTTTGTATATTCTAGGCGGTAGACCTTTGCCTGAGGAGCAGCTGGTAAAAATTTTTTCCCACATTGTGCGTTGTCTCTTCACTCTGTTGGTGGTTTCTCTTTCTGTGGAAATCAGTATGGAGATACCTCAGAAAAGTAGGATTAGAGTTCCCATTTGACCCAGCTATTCTCTTGCTGGGTATCTTCCCAAAGGAATTAAAAGAATAATACCATAGTGATATATGTGCAACCATGTATATAGTAGCACAGTTTGTAATAGCCAAAATTTAAAAACAGCCCAATTGCCCATCAACTGGAGACTGGATAAAGAAAATGTGTGTTTTTTAAAAAATAAAATGGAATATTACTCAGCCATAAAGAATGACTAACTAGAGACATTTATAGCTAAATGGATGCACATTGAGGCCATACTCTTAACTGAAATAAATAGTACATACATGTATAAATACCAAATGATTTCTCTGGTGTGAGAAACTAAAAGTGTAAATCAGGATCAAAATGTATAATTGATAATGTGAAATAGGAAGATAAAACCCAAAGGGGAAGGGGAAGTAGGAAGGGTAAGGGAAGAGAAAGGAATATATATGAGAAAAGGAAAAAAACATAAAACAAAATCTTTTTAAATGGGGAGGGTGGAGGAGTTGAAGAGAGGGCGAGGGAATGGGGAAGAAAAATAAGAACCAAGATATATCATGTTAAGGTACAAATTCCCAATCATATTGTGTACCTAAGAATGGACCAATAAACTAAGTGAATATAAAAGCGATGAAATTTCCAAACATGTTCTGTTCAAATCACCTCTTTGGGAGGGATATTATGAGTTTGTGGACCACTCCTACCCCATCTGGGGCAACCTAAGCCCATCACTAATAAAGCGCCATTGCACAGTATTATACCGTGTGCGTAAGTTGTGAATGTTAGGAATTTTCCTTTTTAAATTTTATGTTACTATCCAGAGGACTAACTAAGGGTGGATGATTTTTATATTCCAGATCCAACTCTGGCTCTCAGCTCATATTCAGGACCATTAGATCAACAGAACTAGACATGATGGTTATTGGTTTTGTATTATGTATGTGTCCAAAAGGTTGTATAATCAAAGCCAAACTTCTACTTGGGGTATGTCTTGGTCATGGTGTATCATGTCTACCATATTAGGAATCTAAATTAATATTACAAAGAATGAATTTTGATTGCGGAATCTTAGAGAGGTAGATAGATAGGTAGATAGATAGATATCAATAGTGAAATGGACTATATTATTTCATTTTA